GCCAGGATGGTCTCAACCTCCTGACTTCATGTGTTCCACCTGCCTTGGCTTCACAGAGTGCTGGATTTACAGGCGTGAACCACCACACCTGGCGAAAAAGGAGGGTTTCATCAGAGAATCAGAATCTATAAAAAAGAATCAAATAGATATTCTAGACATAAAGAACATAATAATCTTGATTATGTATGTAGCAATTTGGTTTGTTTTTGTTTTCTATGTCATGCTTTTTTTGTTTTATTATTTTTTATTTCAGTAGGTTTTGGAGGAACAGTTTGTGTTTGGTTACGTAGATGAGTTCTTTAGTGGCGATTTCTGGGATTTTGGTGTGCCCATCGCCCAAGCAGTGTGCACTGTACCCAACGTGGAGTCCTTTATCCCTGACCACCCCACCCTTTTCCCTCGCGTCCCTCAAGTCCATTGTATCATTCTTATGCCTTTGTGTTCTCATAGCTTAGCTCACACTTAGGAGTGAGAACATAACGATGTTTGGTTTTCCGTTCCTGAGTTACTTTGCTTAGAATAGTGGGCTCTGATTCCATTCAGGTTGCTACAAACGCCATTATTTCATTCCTTTTTATGGCTGAGTAGTATTCCATGGGTATATATACCACGTTTTATTTATCCATTCCTTGATTGATGGGCATTTGGTCTGGTTCATATTTTTGCATTTGCGAAGTGTGCTGCTATAAACATGCAGGTGCACGTACCCTTTTTGTATAATGACTTCTTTTCCTCTGGGGAGACGCCCAGGAGTGGGATTGCTGGATCAAATGGCAGATCTACTTTTAGTTCTTTGAGGAATCTCTATACTGTTTCCATAGTGGTTGTACTAGTTTACATTCCTACAATAGTGTAAAAGTGTTCCCTTTTCACCACATTCATGCCAACACGTATTATTTTTTTAGGTTTTGATTAAAGATGTTCTTACAGGAGTAAGGCAGTATCACATTGTTGTTTTGATTTGCATTTCCCTGATACTGATGTTCGGCATTTTTTTCATATGCTTCTTGGCCATTTGCATGTCTTTTCAGAATTGTCCATTCGTGTCCTTAGACCACTTTCTGATGGGATTTTTTTTTTCTTGATGATTTGAGTTTCCTGTAGATTCTGGATATTAGTTCTTTGTTGGGTGCATAGTTTGTGAATATTTTTTCCCACTCTGAGTTGTGCTGAATTCACTTACCAGGTCTAGGAGCTTCTTGAATGAGCTTTTTCTAGGTGCGTGATCATATCATCGGCTAACAGTGAGAGTTTAACTTTTGACTTTGTTTACTGTTCTGATTATTTCTTTGGCTGTGCAGAAGCTTTTTAGTTTAAGTCACGTCTATTCATCCTTGTTTTTGTTGCATTTGCTGTTGGGTTCTTGCTCTTGAAGTCTTTGCCTAAGCCAGTGTTATCTTCTAGAATTTTAATTGTTTCAGGTCTTAGATTCAAGTCTTTGATCCATCCTGAATTGCTTTTTGTATAGGGTGAGAGATGAGGATCCAGTTTCATTCTTCTGCATGTGGCTTGCCAGTTATCCCAGCACCATTTGTTGAATAGGGTGTCCTTTTCCCGTTTTTGTAGTTTGAAGTCAGGTAATGTGATACCTCTAGATTTGTTCTTTTTGCTTAGTCTTGCTTTGACTATATGGGCTCTTTTTTGGTTCCATAGGAATTTTAGGATTGTTTTTCTACTTCTTTGAAAAATGATGGTGGTATTTTGATGGGAATGGCATTGAATTTCTAGAGTGCTTTTGGCAGTATGGTTATTTTCACAATATTGATTCTAACACCCCCCCATGAGCATGGGCGGAGTTTCCATTTGTTTGGGTCATCTGTGATTTCTTTCAGCAGTGTTTGATAGTTTTCCTTGTAAAGGTCTTTCACCTTCTTGGTTAGATATAGTTTTGAGAGAGAGAGAGAGAGAGAGTGTGTGTGTGTGTGTGTGTGTGTTATAAAAGGGGTTGAGTTCTTGATTTGATTCTCAGCTTGGTTGCTGTTGGTGTGTAGCAGTGCTACCGGTGTGTGTACATTAATTTTGTATCCTGAAACTTTAAAATTCATTTATTGGTTCTAGGAGCTTTTTGAATGAGTCTTTAGGGTTTTCCAGGTATGTGATCATTCCTCTTGACCAGTACAGATGCCCTTTATTTCTTTCTTTTGTCTGATTGCTCTGGGTAGGACTTCCAGTAGTGTATTGAGTGAAAAAGGTGAAAGTGGACTTCCTTGTCTTATTCTCGTTCTCAAGGAGAATGCTTTCAACTTTTTCAGTGTAATGTTGCAGTGGGTTTGTAA